TGTGTGTGTGTGTGTGTGTGTGTGTGTGTGTGTATGGTCTTCTTCTGAAATTCTTTGTGTCCACATTTCAATCTGTATTAATGATTAGATGGCAGAAACTCCAGTTCCTGGAGTAGACTCGGGACATTTTCTTGGATTAATCTGTAAGGGTAAAGGTTTGTCTCTGTATTGATCTGTAAAGCTTGTTATACTGCCCTAATGCACTGTTTTCACTTTGGGAAAATGCTAAATGAGATTGCTGTCTAACATTAGAAGGCCATAAAACACAAGCCATGGCACGTTCCATTCAGGATAAAGGTTTCAAAAACATTTCCAATATGCATTATGGTAAACCCTCCATATAATCATAGAGTCTCACAATTGACTTTTATTGACTGCTTTCATTCCTGCTGATGGAAAAAGCCCCTCTTAGGCAAAATTAACAAAAGGCAGACTTGCAAGGTACTTAGGAAGGAAAATGAAATCTTAGCGGCAAAGGACAATTAGACAGGTTAATTTCTTTATATGTAAGGAAGAGGCAAAGAAATGGTGAATGACAATGTTAAGAGAGAGATGAAATACAGATTTGGAGGACGTGAAACACTAAGAAGTGGGAAGATCTAATAGTTACTCAAAAAAATTTTTAGCAAGAAGAAATTGGTCGAATAGAGTCAACCTTTGAAAATATTCATTTAATAAAAACAAGAAAAAAAATCCAGTTTTGTGGTCACTTGAAATTACTGGGAGCCTTTAATGGATCCTACTATATGTGCGCACGTCTCTCTCTCTCTTTTTTGAGACGGATTCTCACTCTGTTGCCCAGGCTGGAGTGCAGTGGCAGTCTCGGCTCACCGCAACCTCTGCCTCCCGGGTTGAAGCAATTCTCCTGCCTTAGCCTCCTGAGTAGCTGGGATTATAAGGGTTTGCCACCACGCTTGGCTAATTTTTGTATTTTTAGTAGAGGTGGGGTTTCATCATATTGGTCAGGCTGATCTTGAACTCCTGATCTCGGGATCCACCCTCCTTGGCCTCCCAGAGTGCTGGGATTACAGGTTGTGCTCCTGTAACTCTTTTACTCTCAGTTCCCTTCGTCTCCCCTCATCTCCACTAGCACTAGCAGCCCTCCGTTTGGCCCTCCCCACCCCCTACAGTGGCACTGAAGGCCCAAGGGGTTGCTGACAGTACCAAAGGTAGACCTGGAGTCCCAAAGATTTGGCCCAAGAAGATCAAAGGAAGCACTTCTGGTAGGTATTCTGTAGCCTGTCACCAGTAAAACATTTTTTGGCTAATGTTTAATGCTAATATTCACTTAAAAGGCATCTAAAATATATATCCAAGTATTTTTTCTCATTTTACCAACAGGTCTATTGTAGAGACTTTGGAAGAAGGCAGAAAAGAATAAAGATACACATTTAGACTGCTTCTAATTTTTCAGTGCTTAAAAAACATGGTGAAGGATATAAATTACTACTACCATTTCTGATTATTTCCTTAGGAGACTTTCCTATAAGTTAAATTAATTGATCGAAGAGAAATGAAAACAGTTTCAGCAAAAACAAAGCCGAGGAAGTATCTGGAACTCCTCTCTTAAGCCCCTGTGACACAGTTTCACTTGGTCATCTGTTTTAAAACTATCTGTTGGTTTCACTGCTGACTCTACTTTCAAGTCTTAGAAACTTCTTTGATGTGCGTCTGAGCTTGCCATTTCAAGAAAACTACTTACTCATCTTTTTAGTTCTGCTAATATAAATGGCAAGGATAATAAAGTAACTTCAGAGAAGGAAAAAATATGGAGATAACACTCCTTACCCCACTCAACGCTCAGAAGGCTAAAAAAGTCATATGATGACAATCAGTTTGCAGCCACACCTCCCCAGGCTCCAGAGGACACTGAAGTCACTCATAATGAGTGTAGGCACTCAAAGAAAGGATCCTTTCCCTGTACCTGGACCAGAAGTACTCTGACAGAGTTCTACAGATACTATGATGAAATACCAGAGAGAGGGGGAAGAGAAGGAATGAGAAGGAAAGAAGGAGGGAAAGGGAGAATAAATATGAGAATGGCTGGTGTTAAAAGGAGAATTCTAATTTTTTTTTTAACAGGTTTTGATAATGCATCCTTCATGGGATTAGGTTGTCTCATAAAACCATATTTTACACTAAAAGCAGACACACACACACACACACACACACACACACACAGTCATGGAATCAAAGCTTTAGGTCTAATTCCTATGACACAATGCAAAAGCTCTAATTTTTGTCTCTACCAACTTTTCATTAGCTCTTAAAACCAGTTATCAGGATTTCTGCTTTTCTTTTAAAACGCAAAACTAAAGCTACTAGGCACATTGCCAATATTTAAAAATAGGTCATAAGTCACTTTTGTTTCCTTATCACTTACAATTAATCTGTCGAGTAACAAGCAATATAAAGGAAGAAAATGGTTTACCTGAAATGTACTATGTTGACTTTTTATATTTAATTTTACCTTAAATCTAAATATCCTGACATTTGTTTGCAGAGTAAAATGTAAATAGCCTCTAACAATGCAAGATCTGTAAAATTCAGCCTTAAGCTTTCCTGGCATTCTTAATGACACTAACCATTTTA